TAAAGGAAATTTGGGTGTACGAAAGCGATTACGAATTTCATGACTGGTTCTTTGAGCAAAGGGCCTGCGGTGAACTTGTTGACATACACAAATAATTAAAGCACATACCGCAGCGCGCTTTGGACTGTCGTTGGGTGTTAGTTGGAGAAGCGGTTGGTGTGTTGAAGTTGGCGTTGGTGAGGTGGAAAGCAGTTCGGTGGATGAGCGGAGGTCGATGGCAGAGCGTCGACGATTTTTGTCGGGCAGACCGAAGGGACCCTCACACACCGCCACGGTGAGGAGATTCGCTCCGCACAGAAGGTGTTGGGCGGAGGGTGAGGTCTTAACACCTCCATTCGATGCTAGCACTGTCGCGGAAGTGGTACGCTGGGGCACGTGGTGGAGGTTGTCGTCATCATCGTCGGTGGTGGTGGTGGTGGTGGCGGTAGCGGTGTCATCGTCCAGTGTAAAATGTGGGCGCGACTCAGCCGCAGAACACTCCACGGATGCGCTTAGTAACTGGACAAATCACAACAAGTAAAATGAGGACTAATGAAAAGTGGCCTGAAATGATCCTCAACGTGGTGCCATCTCGCTAAGTCAAGCAGACAAAAAGGAGAAGCATAGATTGGCGCCACCTCAAATGAAACGCAGTCATTTTGCCAGCATTGTGAAGCGTGGCTTCAATCACAACCCTCGCCACGGCTAAAGTGAGGACATTTGGCAAGAGAATCACTAAAGTAGTAATCGGTGCCATCGGCAGTCACGAAAGGGCTATGCTAAGGCGAAAAGTAGGATGGAACAATTTAGGACACTGTTCTCCCGGTTTAAAAATGAAGGAGCGACCTTTCATAGTGCCCCAAATGCAATAACATGAGGACAGGTATTATTTGCTCTTCGCCACTTCTCACTTGTACTTGTCAGAAGATTGATGTGGCAGAAAGGTGAGGATACTTACGGGCAGGATGATGTTTCCGCTGCCTCGTCTTTGAATGCATCTTGGCGCACTGCGGTGACTGAAGCCTTGAGGAGAAGGAAAGAGGAAAGGCGTAAAAATGGGCTTCAGTAGTGGCTAAGAGCACCCAGAATGTTGGACTACAACCCAAGAATGTTTCATATCTTCCTTTTTGATGTTTTAACTGCAGACTTGGAGCACATTTCCAAGTCATTTTCCTCCCCTCCCCACCGAACCCAACAGACACTACGACGGCCTAAACGAGGCATTTAAGTAGTATATTCCGCCTTGAAAGTGATACCATTTCGTGCCACAGGTAATCGGCTTTTGGCCGCCGTTTTTAGTAGTAACAAATAAAATCACCCCATTCTAACCGTTGTTTGTTCAAAGACGCTCCTTTTGAGGCCTCCCGTAACGTCACTGTGGCAAACACACAGCACTTTCCCAAGTCCATCCCTCCTTCAGTACAGACTGTGACCACTGCCTGTCTTTCAGCCTACTTTACCACACCCTTCGTTGGGACAAAACGCAGCACAACAACAAAAACAAAACGTGCATCCCGCGACTTACTGTCCCGTGGTTCGTTCTCCTCGCACAAGCTCCTATGGAAAAGGGAGAACGAAGGGCCATTAAAGGCAGTCACAGCAAAATGGAACGGCTACGTTTGCTTTGAAGCAAGCGAGGCTCTACAAACCAACCACTTTCCTCACAGTGCCAAGGCCGATGGGCAACGTGGAGACACAATGCAGATGGTAATCGTGTGATTTGGCCTTCACAAACCACAAGCCCGTTCCTCTCTGTTCCCCCCACCCCCGCCACTCCCCACTTTTGTGTGCTATTTTTGTGATTAAAACGGTGTTGGCAGTAGAGAGAATGGAAGAAGGTTGTCTTGAAGTGTAGCCTTAAATATGCTGCTCTGCACTGTTGGTGGCAGTAAAATTGTGGTCACAATCGGTCCACTAAATTAAAGTTTGCGAAGCTGTTGTGGGCAATGAAGAAGTGATTTGATTGGTTGTTACTCTTCTCACCTCCCTCAATACTGCCTGGCCAAATGCAGTGTGGAGAAGTTTTATTTAACGGCATTTGTAGACAGAGCAGCCACTTCGATTTGCTTTTGCCTACCGCATCGCGAAACTCGTCTACACCTTGAAGGGTCGGGCCACCCGACAGCAGTTGCCTTCGACATCTTCCCTCGACACGCAAACTCGCAACCACTTGCAACCTCGTGCTACGTTCAAATAAAGCTTTACAAAAGAAAGGGCGCCAGGAGGATTGAACAATCTACGCATCTGCTGTGATTACTTTCATGTTATTGCGTTAAATGACTATGTGCATGCTGAGGACTTTTTACCGCATCACCGCCCATTCCAGCTCACAGACGCTATAACCACGAAGTTACTATAATTGGAGGAAAATACACTGGGAAGTACCTACGGAAGTCCCCTCTCCGCTTCCCCCCTCCAACCCAATGCTTCATTATTTTTAAAAAGGGTTTCACTTGAGCGATGGTCAAAGCATTTGATTCGGATTCGACGGCTGCGTTAGGATGCCTCACAGCTTGCGGTGGGATTTGTGCAAGCACATTCATTGCGCAAATCCCTTTTACTAAACCAATGCAGTGAGTCGGCAAAGTGGTTTTACTAATGATTAGGCAAAAATTTGACTGACCCGCGATCAATGCAAACTCGGATTGGCTGTTCTTGAGGTTTCACATCCTCAGCTTGGCTGGCTTGCAGGGCGCAATCGAGGCCACTGGGAGATGGTTTTGTCTCGTTGAGGTAGTTGAGATACTCGTAGAGTGTTGACATGATGTACTTAAACTATCATAAAGGAAAAAAGAAAATCTTCGTAAATACTACTGACAGGAATTATATAGTAGTTTAAGCATGGCAGGATTGTTCTGCCAGTAGTATATCAGTAGTATGGAATGTAGCGCAAAGTTGTTTGCCACTTGTTTGGCCCAATCCTGCGAGCTACATCTCCTATTGATAGTTCACTAGCGTAGAACGCGATGGATGCGCCTTCAAACCCTTTATGGCTACGATAATGGGAGCGCCAAACCTGTTCCGCTTCACTAACCACCGCGGATCGAGGATATTTGAGCCTCAGCAAGTTAAGTGTGCCTCACTTCAATCAACCAAGGCGTAAATAATCTTTTCTCTCGCCACGCTCCCTTGCATTGTCAACATTTTTTAACGTCAGGGTTGGATTAAGTTAGGTAAAAGTAACTTCAAAACAGATGCCGCCACGTAAACAACTGTCCAGCATTTGGAAGTCGTCAAGGCGGAACGAATCATTGCTTCACCCGCTTGGTTGCGCAGAACTTAATTTTATTAATGATCGCCTGTTTCTTCTCACTTGATCATTTTTAAAAGGGTTTATTTTTGAAAGGGTGCATCACTGTGGAATGGCCTTTAGTCGGCGATGTTCGAGGCTTTTCCACCCTCGGCACCGCCTTGACTGGCTGCAAGCATTCATATCCACGCGCCTTACAAGTCGGTTAGCTTGATTTTAATCTCCTGAGCGCATAACAATTTTCATCAGCATCTGACAAAGCGGCAAAGAATCCGCGACCCACGAATTGGAGCTCTCAACGCCACGGCAATTTCTCAACGTATCCAAATCAACAAATTGCAATTCTTTGTCTCTCCTTTCAACTTTGGAAGCCTAAAATAGTCCTGAGGATGTGGTGAGGCCTTTTTTAACCCACAGGGAAGGGAAACAAAAGTAAACCCACGTCATGAGGATTTGGGCGGAAGGGAGGAAAACGCAAGTCTTGTGCAGTCGACTCCACCTAACCAGGCAAAATGAATGTTGGGTCGAAGGAAGAGGAGGAGGAGTTGGTTCGGTGTGGGCAAAAATTTCTCTTCACTTCAGTGCTTGCAGGTTTGCAAGCCAACCAAGTTGCAAAAGTTGACAAAAAGCTGTCAGTGTATTTTGTTTGCGTGCTTGGATGCTAAAATTGTCTCCATGTTGGAGGGTTGGGGTCGCAGCAGCAGCAGCAGCTCAAAATGCACAGAGTTAAACAAATTTGCGTGCATGTGATGTGCATTTGTTTCTTTTTGTTGTTTCCGCATTTACGAATTCTGCGTCGTCAAGGGAGGACAAATGGAAAACGCCCATGCAAGGAGACTCCCAAAACGAAGGAAGATGCAATAAATTATGCACGACGCCCTTCTCATGCAGATTCCAAGGCAGTGGGCATAGCGATTGAGGGAGGGGTGGGCAAAACTCAGCTTCGAGGCATCTGCTGCAGTTCCAGCCACAAACCTCTGCTGGGAGAGGAGTGGAAACGAGGTTGTCAGTGTCCGCAGGTTCTATCGTCTGACAGCAAGTGCTACTACTCGCCAGTCCTCCACTCAACTTGTCTGTGGCGATGAGCCCTCCTCCCACCTTCTTCCCTCCTTTGCGGTGATGAAGCGAAGAACTTTCGCCACTTACACTTACGTCCATAAAGGAGGATTTAGTTGTCGGTCTGTGCGCCAATTTGCCTCACTTCTGTTCGTCTACCTCCTCCTCTTACGCTTCACCTTCGCAAGGAATACAATCATAGCGTGTTTTTGGTGTGTCTTTCGTCTTATTCTTCACTCTCCTCACACACATGCAATTTAACCTCGTGCAAGTAGAGTGGTGGACAGGCAGACCAACCTACAAAGTGAGCACATTATCTTTTGTTATAAATGTTAATCCTGCTTTTCATCCCTCCACTACTTTTGCCCTCGTCAAAGGTGGTTTGAGTGAGATCCACTGAATCGGTGGGTGGACGTCAAAATGGTGGACCGACTGATGGGATGCCGGAGGAGGAGGAGAAGGTGGAGCGTGTTTTGTCGTACTCACCTCACTAAACTGCCACTGCTTGTTAAGCGTGTGTGGCAAGAGGCAGGGCAAAATCTCCATAGCAATCATTGAGGGTGAGAGGAGTGCTTTTCTCTCACGGAGAATGGTCTTCAGAAGGCCTACAAAAAAGGCGCACACAAACGGTTTAACAGCTTTGTTGTTAGTTGACCTATTGTCAAGTGCAGTAAGTTTTATTCAGACGATCTTTTGTTTAATGAGGCGGTTAGAAAGAAGAACGCCTCAACTATGATGCGTGTTTGGAGGGGATGGGCATCATTTAGGCCTGTGGATGTCAGCATCTCGCTGCTCTCGCCTGGCAGAGCATGCAATGCGTGCATCACTCTACCCTCCGTTAGTCGTACAATCCTGCGATGGATGGGCAAGCTTTGATCACTTTCAAAGTGTTGTTAGTGGATGTCTACACGACATGATCACTAAGAAATGGAGGATTGAGGTGGAAGTGGAACTTACAACACAGCGAAATGACGGGTTCGCCCTGTGTGAGGAAGAAGTCGAACTCGATGAGGTAGCTGGGAAGGAGACAAGACGCATCCGTAGAAGGAGAGGCAGTAGATTGGCAGGCAACTCTTTCACCGCCTCCGACTCCGACTCCTTTATCGCACGCTCTCAAGGTGTTACTGTTGGCAGCGTTGACTGTGCACTCCAAAGCGAAAGGAAGCAGCACGTGCTCCACTGTGTCTAGTGGAAGGTGAGAGAGAATGTTTGCCATGCATTGCATTGCCACTGATTGAATCTGCAAAGTACAAACAAGTAGGCAAGCTTTTTTGCCCTGCGCATTTGAGATGAGGCAATCGGCAGGTTGCACTGACTACCGTCCAGCCAAATGGGACTGGAAGCATGATCAAAAGGCAAACAAATACGTGGGGTAAACTTGGAAGAGGGTGTCAAAATCGCCCTGTCGACTTCCCACAAAGAGTCGAAAAATGTAATGCCAAGGATTCTGAAACAGTTGAATACAACAATGGCAAAGGTGACAAGCAAACTCGATGGCAATGTAGAAGTGCCATCGCCGCCTCCATGTTTGAGCTTCGCGAGTTACAGCTTGATGGAGGCGAAGCAATGTGCTAGTGTGTTGGGCATCACAGTGACACCTTCTTAACTTATATTTCACAAAAAGTCGCCAACCGCATGGAGATGCGGCACCGCCTCTTCATCAGCACCGATAGACGAAGTGGAGTTGTTCTACGGGGTGAGTCAAAGCCGATGCAACTCATTTGGTCGGTTCATCTACAGCAGAACTGCCCAAAGGCACGAGTGATGGGACAGGCAGATGTCCCCTCGTGTGCAGACAAAATTTGTTCAAAGGAGAGAACAGTCTCGTGGATGTTTCCATTCACAACACCCATAGCATTGGCTGGAAAGAAGTTGGCAGCATAAGGAGGTGACGGCGCAACAACTTGCCTCTCCCTTTAAGCACCCAAAACTACTTGCCAAAACTCAGTTAACAACAGTAAAAATGAGAGCAAGAAGGCAAAACTTCACTTTTTGTTGGGCTTTTAAGGCGTCGCATTTGTATGCACACCTCTGTGGTTGTGAGACAACCTTCAACACCTGTCTTGCGTGGACACACTTCTTTGCACTCCTTAAAAAGTGACACTTTTAAAGGCGAAAGCTGTCACATTTTAGACAAATGAGTGCTGAAAATTTGCATTTCAAGCGTGATTGACATGCGCAAAGAAGGCAACAACTCGTAGTCATTTGGCTGAAGACGAGTTGACAACACCGTCACAACCTCCCCCCATCGTGTTGTCAATAGAGTAAAGGGCATTTTGGAAAAAGAAAAAAAAAGAAAGAATATCTTTTAAAAAATAGCGAAAT